CACTGACCGCACCCTTTTCCTGCTTTTCCAGGACTGGGAGGTGCTGGTCCTAGGGAAGCTCAAGTGGGACCTGGCTGCTGTGATTGCACATGATTTCCTGGCCCTCATTCTGCACCGGCTCCCTGTGCCCCGTGAGCGACAGGCCTTGGTCAAAAAGCATGCCCAGACCTTTTTGGCTCTCTGTGCTACAGGTAAGAGCCCGGTCCACAATTTTGTCAAATTGGAAAAGTCAGAAGATTTATAAGGGTGAGAGGTAATTAGGAGATTCTTGTGTATACTCTCAAAATTTGTTAAAATTATATCCCCTCTGAGCCCCCAGTCTCAATACAGAAAAGCAGGTCATAATCAGAGCCATTTGGGATCTCAGACTCCTCCAGTTTGTAGGAGGGACACTGAGTGTATAGAGAGAAGTGACTTGCCCAAGGTCTCACAGTGAATAGTTTGGGAACAAAACCCCAGTCTCTTGGCCTTAGTTGTGTTCCCACACTGGGGAGTGTCTCATCTATTCCCTGGACCTATGGAAACTGGCAGTTGGTCCTGATCTCTAGGAAAGATACTCTTTCCTGTCTTCCTCCCTTGCTGTTATCTTGCCCCACCCACGGCTGGACTTTTCCAGCATGTCCTCTGCTGTATTCATGCTGCCTGGCACTGCTTTCTGAGGAGTTCCAAGTCCACGCTGGCTGTTATCCTTCAAGTTTCCTTGTCTCATGGTTCCCTTTCCTCCTCTCCAAGATTATACCTTTGCCATGTACCCGCCATCCATGATTGCCACGGGCAGCATTGGGGCTGCAGTGCAAGGCCTGGGTGCCTGCTCCATGTCCGGGGATCAGCTCACAGAGATGCTGGCAGGGATCACTGGCACTGAAGTGGTGAGTGCTGGGCAGCTGGGGAGCAGCCTCTCCATTCATAAAGTAGTGCTGTGCCCTGAGCCTCCAGTAGAGGGAAACCTCCAACCCCAACCTGGTCCCAAGTCCTGGTTTCACACCCTAGGGTCTTTGTAGCTTTTTATCTGCATTGATCTGGAGAAGAGCAAGTGTCCTGGGTGGGGTGAAGGGCACTGGCCCTAGGGGCTCTTTTCTTGCCAAGTGGTGTGCTGGAGTGGGGGTGGGGGTTCGGTGTCAGATGCAGGGCTGCTCTCACACTCCCTTGCCACATCCTCTTGCTAGTTTCTGAGAACTGAAGAGCGATTCCTGGGGCTGGGCTGTGGCCTAACCTCCCCAGACTTCCCCATGTGTTGGGAGCTGTCTTTCTCCTGCACCTGCCAGATGCTATGGGGCAGTGGTCACTCTTCACTGTTCTCCCATGTTCCCAGGACTGCCTGCGGGCCTGTCAGGAGCAGATCGAAACTGCACTCAGGGAGAGCCTCAGGGAAGCTGCTCAGACCAGCCCCAGCCCAGTGCCCAAAACCCCCCGGGGCTCCAGCAGCCAAGGGTCCAGCCAGACCAGCACTCCTACAGATGTCACAGCCATCCACCTGTAGCCCTGGAGAGGCCCTCTGGAGTGGCCACTAAGCAGAGGAGGGGCCACTGCCACCCACCTCCCTGCCTCCAGGAACAAACCACACCACGTCTGAAACCTGAAGGGACATTTGTCCCCCTTCACAAAGCCTAAGGGGTCCGGTCCTACTTATCCCTGCAGTGTGCACTAGGGGGCCGGACCAGCCAAGTCTGCATTTCGGTGGCTAGTCAAGCTCCTTCTCCTTCCTGCATCTGACCAGCAGCGCCTTCCTGAACTCTAGCTGGGGGTGGGCCAGGGTGATGGGATAGAATTGGATCCATGCACCAGCATTCCTTTTGAGTGCCCCCCACCCCTGGGGGTGCTCAAGTTTTCAACTGCCAAAATGCTCTAGTGCCTTCTAAAGGTGTTGCCTCTTCTAGGGTTATAGCATTTGGATTGGGGTTCCTCTGAAATTTCACGCATGATTGATAGACACGTAGTGGGGGAATAGTCTAGATGGCTCCTCTCAGTACTTTGGAGGCCCCTATATAATCCATGCTGACAGCTGCTCCTAGAGAGAGGGGCCTAGGCCTCAGCCAGAGAAGCTATAAAGCCCCCTTGCTTTGCTTAGTGCTCAGCTTCTCCTGTGTGATTGACAGCTTTGCTGCTGAAGGCTCCTTTTAATTTATTGCTTTGAGCACAACTGTAAGGGGATGTAATGGGGTCCTGGCCATACCACAAGTGGTGGTAACCCTGGTGGATGCTGTTTTCCTCCCTTCTGCTACTGGCAAAAGGATCTTTGTGGTGGAGGAGCTGCTACAGCCTAGGGTGGGGTCATGCCCTCTGCTCCATCCTCCAGCAGGGAAAATGCAGCAGGGATGCCCTGGAGGTGGCTGAGTCCTTATCTAGAGAGGGAGGCAAGCCCTGTTGACAGAGGTCTTTCCTAAGGCCACAAGATTTAGAAGGGTGGCCCAGGACCATCATCCTACTGTAATATTGTGAAATAAAACTGGCTTTGGCTTCTTGGATTGGTGTGTGGCTAAGTCTATTATTTCTGGACTGTATGAGGTAAGGAGGTGGAAGTCAGTGGTCTAAAGCAGGGATCATTGAGTCTTTTCTGTAAAGTGGGGGATACGTAGGCTTCGTGGGCTATATGGTCTCTGTCCCAAATAGAGTCAGCTCTGCTTTATAATGTGACCTATGCATTCCTAAAAATCACTATGCCATGCAAAAATTGCACAACAAAAACCACAGGTCTCATGGGAAAAATGGAGACTGAAGCACAATACTCAAAATTTTAAATGAGGCCGGGTGCAGTGGATCACAAGGTCAGGAGATCCAGACCACCCTGGCTGGCCAGTGTGGTAAAACCCCGTCTCTACTAAAAAAAAAATGAAAATTATGGAGCTGGGTGTGGTGGCTCACACCTATAATTCCAGCACTTTGGGAGGCTGAGGTGGGTGGATCACGGGGTCAAGAGATCGAGACCATTCTGGTCAAGGTGAAACCCGTCTCTACTACAAATACAAAAATTAGCTGGGCATGGTGGTGCGAGCCTGTAGTCCCAGCTACTTGGGAGGCTGAGGCAGGAGAATTGCTTGAACCCAGGAAGTGGAGGTTGTGGTGAGCTGAGATCGTGCCATTGCACTCCAGTCTGGGTAGCAACAGCGAAACTTCGTCTCAAAAAAAAAAAAAAATTAGCTGGGTGTGGTGGCATGTGCCTATAATCCCAGCTACCTGGGAGGCTGAGGCATGAGAACTGCTTGAACCCAGGTGGTGGAGGTTGCAGTGAGCTGAGATTGCACCACTGCACTCCAGTCTGGTGACACAGTGGGACTCCATTTAAAAGGAAAAACAAAAAAAACCAGGAGCTTCCGTGGCTCAGGCTAGTTGAGGTGAGGCTGCGTGTTCGAGGCTAGCCTGGGCAACATACTTATCATTCGTTAAAAAAAAAAAAAAAAGTGACATGGGCAGATCACAAGGTCTGGAGATTGAGACCAGTCTGACCAACATGGTAAAACCCATCTCTACTAAAAAATACAAAAATTAGCTAGGCGTGGTGGCACGTGCCTGTAATCCCAGCTACTTGGGAGGCTGAGGCAGGAGAATCACTTGACCCAGGAGGTGGAGGCTGCAGTGAGCTGAGATTGCACCACTGAATTCCAGCCTGGTGACAGAGGTAGACTCCGTCTCAAAAAAAAAAAAAAGCTTGGTTTTTACATATGTCAAATGTTTGAGAAATACATAAATATTACAATAAACATGGCCTTTTATCTTGAAGACATGCACTTTGCTTTGGAAGTGGATGTTGGAAGAGTTGCTCAACACAGGAGGGGAGCTTGTATATGTTTAGGTGTGAGTTTTGTGTACTAGTTAGGCTTGGTTCAGCTGGGTACAGTTTTCCACATTCACCTAATATTTCTTGAGGATGAAATCATACACAAGCAAACATGAAGTTTGCGTTATGATCAAACTTCACAAATATATTAAATGGGTTGGAACAAATTGCAATTTTGAAAGCAAATAACAAGGGTTATAGCAGGATGATACTTAACTCTGCTGTTGTAGCACAAAAGCAGCCACGGAAATCATGTAAATGGGTGAGCATGGCTGTGTTCCAAAAAAACTGTTTATGGATGCTAAAACTGGAATTTCATAATTCTTACCTATCACAAAATACTATTTTCATCTTTTTTTCCCATTTAAAAATGGAAAAATCATTCTTAGCTCATGGGCCACACAAAAATGGGCACTTGGACCAGGCATGGTGGCTCACGCCTGTAATCCCAGCACTTTTGAGAGGCTGAGGCAGGTGGATCATGAGGCAGGAGTTCAAGACCAGCCTGGCCAATATGGTGAAACGCCATCTCTACTAAAAATACAAAATATAGCCAGGTGTGGTGCTGCATGCCTGTAGTCTCAGCTACTTGGGAGGTTGCAGTGAGCCGAGACTGTGCCACTGCACTCCAGCCTCGGCAACAGAGTGAGACTCCCTGTCTCAAAAAACCAAACAGGGCCGGGCGTGGTGGCTCATGCCTATAATCCTAGCACTTTGGGAGGCTGAGGTGGGTGGATCACCTGAGGTCAGGAGTTCAAGACCAGCCTGGCCATCATGGTGAAACCCCATCTTAAAAAACAAACTAAAAAAATGGGCACTTAGCCCTAGTTTACTAGTCACTCGACTAAAGCTTTCATTGGCTAAAAAGCCAAAAAGGGAGCCTGTTTGTGAGTAGCCCCAATCTAATCATTCTTGGGTCCAGCCTTAATCTCTGACCTTCCTTGACTACATCTCTGCTTTCCTTGAGGAGTTTCCTCTTGTAGGCCTTTCATCCATAGGTGAGACATGACCATTTTTGGACAACCTGCTTCTGGCTGCTATAGCCTATGAGAGGGAAAGGCAGAGGATGTGTCCCTTGGGGGCTAATAACGTGAGTGTGGCCTGGAGTAACAAGCTTGGAGATCTAGGGAGATGGACCCTATATAAACAGGACAAGAATGTCCTCTGTCCTCCAGATACTAACAGGAGTAATGCCCACCTCCACTGACCACACCAAACACAGAGGTTCAATAAATATCTGCCTTTGCTTTTATCCACAGTGGGCTGATGCAACAGCCATAGAAAAAGTACCACACCAAGCCCCAGCTGGGGACTGGGAATCCTAGCATATGGTAACTCAAGTTGGCTCTCAGAACTGAACAGGGATAAGGGCCTTGAATGGAAGAGGGAACCAGCCAGACCCTCAGTTCTTCCTGTCCTGGACTGGGAGCCACAGATGTCCCTGTGACCTGTCACTGCCCTGATCTAGGTCTTCAGCCATTAAGGCTCAGTGTCATCTTTAGTCACCAACACCGGTCTTGGTGTCCTTCCAAACCCCTTGGGCCAGGGCAGTGACTGTTTTCCTCACTCCGTGGTGATGGGAATATCTTCCACATCTCGGGGGACTGCGCTCTGAAGCTCACGCCTGATTTCGGGGGATAGTTGTGGATGGGGCTGCAGCCGGAGCAGTTCTAGGAGGGCCTCTTTCTGGTCTGCGGCCAAGTCGGCCTTGTAGCGCTGGACCAAAGTCAGGAGGCACTGGTGCCAGAGCACAGGCAGTTCACGCTTCTCTGTCCGGAACCCCAGGAAGTGGAAGACTAGGGCATCCAGCACCCGGTAAGGCAGTGCATACTTCTTATCTAGCAGCAGTCGCAGGAAGATGCTGTTGGCACCGCTGTATTCCATCTCAGCAATTTTCAGCATGGCCGCACTGATGGGAAAAGGGAGGTGGGGTGAAGTTGGCGGGGAAAGCACTGGAAGAAGGATCCTACTTCTCCTCTGTGCTTTCCCCCTTTTTTCTTCCCCTCTGCTGGCCCTTACACTATGGTATTCCCTAGGGGCCTTCTCACCTACCCAATTGTATTATACTCCCTTGACTCCAGTCACCATCTCTACAAGGATCCACCCAAATCTCTACCTCTAGCACAGACTGCTTGTTTCAGTACCCAACTAGAGTATGGTCCAAACATCTAAACATCTCTACCCTAACTACTTTCTTCCTGTGCTTCCTACTTATTTGTTCATCTATTTACTGAGCACTTATTTATTTATGAGACAGATATATTTACTTATTTATGAGATGAAGTCTCACCCTGTCACTCAGGCTGGAGTAAAATGGTGCAATCTTGGCTCACTGCAACCTCTGCCTCCTGGGTTCAAATGATTCTCCTGCCTCAGCTTCCAGAGTAGCTGGGATTATAGGTGTGTGCCACCAAGCCCAGCTACTTTTTGTATTTTTAGTAGAGATGGGGTTTCACTATGTTGGCCAGGCTGGTCTCGAACTCCTGACCTTGTGATCAACCGGCCTCAGCCTCCCAAAGTGCTAGGATTACAGGCGTGAGCCACTGAGCCCAGCCTCAGCACTTTATACCAGGTACTTAGGCCCTGTTGTTGCAGAACTTACATTTAGGGGGATAATGATATAAACCCAAGGCTATCCTTAGCTCCTTCTCCACTCTGCGCATCCCCAAGTCCTGGCAATTCCACTACCTGGATATCCACTGACCAGCCCTCCTCCACCCCCGACAATGCTACCTGGAGTGCAACACAGGGATGGAGCACTTGGTGATGATGCTACCCACAATGATGGCTTCCCGAAGGGTACAAGTGCCAGACTCGCACAGTGGAATCAGGATCCCTGAGGAGAGTCAAAGGGCAGTCACTATGAGCCCAGGTTAAGAAAAAGGAGTTACAGGAAGCATTCCCACCCAGCCCAGGGGCAGCCAGCCAGCCATTTCCCACACCAGGCCTGCTGTGTTCCCTGTAGGAGCGCCAGCCCTTCCCTTTCTTCCCTGCCTTGGGGATCCCACCTTTGAACCAGGCTCCAGGTTTGAAAAGGGCCTTCTTGAGAGCCATGTAGAGATGGAAGTTGAGTCGTTTGTATTCAGCAATGTCATCTCGTATTCGTGGGAGCAGGACAAGATTGTAAAAGCGCTGGGCCATGCGTTCCTTCAGGTTAGAGGCAAAAATCCTAGTGGGAGTTAAGTGGGGAGTTTCCAAGTCACACGACAGTCTGGACCCAGCCCATTAAATATCATCATGGATAGTGCATACAAAAGGTTTTATAGTAAAATAAGAGATCTTTTTCTCAGTGAGGGATATGTGGGAGCTGTGTGCATACAACACCCATCAACTTAGAGAGAGAACAGGAGGGGCAACGAGATGTACCCAAATGGGGAGTGCTGTTTGTCTGGGGGAGAGCCAGAGCTCATGCAAACTGATGGCTACTCAGCTACTCTCCTTCCTCTTGCTGTCACAGCTCCTCTCAACCCTGCTATCACGAGGGCCCTGAGCATGCCTGGGTAGTCATAGACTTCTGAGGCCCCGCTATGGGGTTGTGTCCCAGTGGCTGTAAAAGCCTCTTCCCTAGAAATCCATCATGGAGGGTTTCTAGCTGGGTCTTGGCTACAAAACACGACAGAGGAAAAGCTAGGAAAATGATGCTATAAAGTAGCACAGAGAGGGCCATGGGGCAAAGCTCAAATGCCCTAGGGGTAGAGGCAAGGAGAGCCTGTCCATCCCAAGCCCAGCCTGTACCTATAGACCAAGGCCCCCGAACCCCCATCCACCCTACCTGGTGGCTTGGTACATGGCAGCTGCAGTCCAGGCCTCAGGCTCTGTGACATAGAGGATTTGCTCCCAGTTGGAGAGTGCAGGGATGATCTTAAATGCCTTGGGCAGTTTCCCACAGCGATACTTAGATAATACCTAGGGATGAGGGAGGTAAAATAATCATCGTCATCCACATATGGCGAGCTTGCTGTGGGTTAGGAACTTGTCTGGATGCTTTTAATATATTAACTCATTTCATGCTCACAATAACTGTATAAGGAGGAGCCATTATTTTGCTCATTTTACAGATGACCAGAGAAAAGTTCCAGTAACTGATCCAAGGTTGCCAAGTCATTTATAGGCAGAGCAGGAATCTGAACCCACACACTCTGCTTCTTAGGTCTGTTTTCTGCTCCCATGACTTCTTTAGTATGAGATGTGGGCAAAAGGCAAAAAAGTCCCCGAATGGGTCTTCAACCATGGCTCCTCTCTCAGCTCTTACCTCCCGGACCCCCCTGTAGACCTCCAGGACCCGGGGGTCCAGCTGGGGCATAGGGAAGCCCGACACCTCTGACATGACTGTCTCAACCTCTGTCTGCTTCTCAGTCAGCTTCTCCATGATGATGTCCGCCAGGGTGCGCCTAAGAGGGGAGGTGTCAAGGGGAGGGGAGAGAGGAGGGAAGGAGTGCTGTGGTCACTGTCCAGGAAGCTCCAGACTCCCCACAGTCCTTGTGTGCACTGACATACTGCAATCCTGCTGGGTGATATGCAACTTCAGTTCCCTCTCTGTGCCCATCCATCCACCACAGAATCGCTGCAGCGTGCAAAGGAACTGAACGTCATTCCATTTAGGACAAAGCTGGCAGTTGTATGGAGGTTATTATGAACCTGAACTCTGAAGTTGGTCTGCCCAGGTTCAAATCCTGGCTTGCCTACTCCCTGTATGATCTTGGGCATGTTACTTTACCTTTCTATGCCTCTGTTTTCCTCATTCGTTAAACAGGAATAATAATGGCACCCACTTTATAATACACTTCAGAGGCTGTTGAAGTGTATTTATTTATTTATTTTTTTGAGACAGGGTCTAGCTCTGTTGCCCAGGCTGGCGTGCAGTGGCACCATCACGGCTCCCTGCAGCCTCCATCTCTCTGGCTCAAGCGATCTTCCGATCTCAGTCTCCCCACTAGCTGGGACCACAGGCACATAGCACAACACCCAGCTAATTTTTTATTCTTTTGTAGAGATGGGGTCTTTTCATGTTGCCCAGGCTGGTCTCACACTCCTGGGCTCCTGCCTTGGCTTCCCAAAGTGCTGAGATTACAGGTGTGGGCCACCATGCCCAGCCTGAAATGTACTTAAAGCTGCTCCTGAGTTGGGTGCAGTGACTCACACCTGTAATCCCAAAAATGGGAGGCTGAGGGAGGTCAGGAGTTCAAGACCAGCCTGGTTAACATGGTGAAATCCTGTCTCTATTAAAAATACAAAAATTAGCCGGGCGTGGTGGTGCATGCCAGTAATCTTGAGAAGTTGAGGTTGCAGCGAGCAGAGATCACACCACTGACCTCCAGCCTGGGTGGCTGACAGAGTGAGACTGTCACAAAACAAAACAAAAAAACAAACTGCTCCTCTTTTCTGAGGTCCTACTCAGTGCCAGGCACTGAGTTTGGGACTTTTCAGTCCTAAAGTCAGTGCAACACTTATGGGACACGGAAACTTATGCAGACATGGGAACTGGGCCTCAGGTTAGTAACTCACCCAAGGCCTCATAGCTGTCAGGTGGGGAGTAACAGTCAAACTCAGGTTTTTGAAGTTCTTAAGGTACTTTATAGGACCTTATAATATGCCTTTAAACTAAATGGCCTCTTGACTGTTGAATCCACATGGATCTAGGTTTGCTTTCTGAAGATGCTAGCTATCATTTCCTGCGACTGCCTGGAGTTCTGTTACTTCAGGGAGCTTGTCTATTCTATTTACTGCAATTGGAGAAGCATTCTGCCAAGTTTGTCAGAGTTACCAGTGAAGTAGGAGTATGAAGTGCTGAGTGAGAACCTGAGAGGCTCTCTGGTGGGACAAGCCCAGGTACGTATTTTGTGACATCTATTTCAACTGTCAACCATCAATCTGGGAGATGGGCTCATTTTCTTCATTCTGTATTTTCTTTTTAGACAGTTTCGCTCTTGTTACCCAGGCTGGAGTGCAATGGCGCGATCTCAGCTCACCACTACCTCCGCCTCTTGGGTTCAAGCAATTCTCCTGCCTCAGCCTCCTGAGTAGCTGGGACTACAGGCATGTGCCACCATGCCCAGCTAATTTTTTGTATTTTTAGTAGAGACGGGGTTTCACCATGTTGACCAGGATGGTCTTGATCTCTTGACCTCATGATCCACCCGCCTTGGCCTCCCAAAGTGCTGGGATTACAGGCTTGACCCACCGCGCCTGGCCTCATTCTGTATTTTCAAATAAGCTGCCACAGAATTTACCAGCCTCCTGTCTTACAGCACGATTAGCAACGAGAGACACATTAAGCCAAAATAGCCTAAAGTATCAGGGACAACATCATGGTAATATCACAGGGTCAGAATGAACTGTTTAAGGGCCTTATCCTAGACTCCACTCCCCAGGGCCAAAATTTATGGGCTCAGTAATCTGACCACAGGCAGTCTAAATGCTTGCATGTTTGGAGCTAGCATTTACTATAGATGGGAATAAATTACTGGTTCTAACTGGGGGCGATCTTGCCCCCCAGGGGAGATTTGGCAATGTCTGGTGTCATTTTTGGTTATCACAATTAGAGGGAAGGTTGCTACTGGAGTCTAGAAGGTAGAGATGAGAGATATCTGCAAAACACTGCACAGAATAGCCTCCATATACACACGCAAAATTACCCAGCCCAAAATGTCAGTATGCTGAGGTTGAAAACCCCTGGCTTAAATGAAGCTCAGGGTATGAAGATTTATCCAAGAAGTTGAGCTTCCACTAAAAAAATCAAGAATACCAAAACCAAATGCAACAGGATGGCTCTCCCCAGAGGTATAAAAGGGGCCTGTAGCTGTTTCCCTGACAATTGGGCAGTAGTACAATAATGGATGGAAGGACACAAGGCATTTTGAGGCTGGGTCATTCCCACTCACAGTGGTCCTTTCAGGACAGGCCAGCTTTGTCAAGGTGGTCCCCTACAACCAGCAACTCCAGGGCCCTTTCCAAAAGTAGGGAATTATAAGTCTGCCGGGGAACTTGTTTTCCTGTGGGAACTTTCTTCAAGGACCCACTATCCCAAATTGCCAGGCCTACCTGGCAGGAGGGTTCTTGTTCATGAACATCTCTATGGCACGCTCATCCTCAGGGTCCACCACCACCTCTGCATGGTAGCCCACCCCTGTCATTGTGGCAGCCTTCTCCAGCGTGGGCCACTCCTCGTCCTCTTCATCTGATCCATCCTGAGGCACTCTTGGACCTAGAAGAGGGAGACTAAATGGATGAGCCCAGCCAAGGATGGCTGAAACATTAGTCAGTTTAACTTCAGCCATTATGTAGTACAGGCCTCACATGTGGTTGTGATAGATGCGGGTATGTGCAGTGAAACAAATGAGGCATGCAGTAGCTCCCTGTCCCCAGGAGCTTGCAATCATGCTCGAGAAACAAAATGTATGCACAGGAAACAATGAGAAAGCAATGTCATAAATAATAGTGAACATACCATACTCAGTTATGTAGAAGGAACTTCTGAACAGTGTACCCATGTTAATTGTTTAACCCTTATAAACCCAAGAAGTAGATACTATTTTTTTTTTTTTTTGAGATGGAGTTTCGCTTTTGTTACCCAGACTGGAGTGCAATGGCGCGATCTCGGCTCACCGCAACCTCCACCTCCTGGGTTCAAGCAATTCTCCTGCCTCAGCCTCCCGAGTAGCTGGGACTATAGGCGCACACCACTATGCCCAGCTAATTTTTGTATTTTTAGTAGAGACGGGATTTCACCTTGTTGACCAGGATGGTCGCGATCTCTTGACCTCGTGATTCACCCGCCTCAGCCTCCAAAGTGCTGGGATTATAGGCGTGAGCCACCGCGCCAGCAGAAGTAGTTACTATTATTATACCCAGTTTTAGATGGGAACATTGAAGCACCGAAAAGTTGGGTAATCTGCCTGACAGGTAGTCTGGGTCTAGACTGCATTCTTCACTACCATTTTACACACATTAGGGCTTGATTATATGCCACAATGAGTGCTAGAGACAACATGCACTTAGAGGATGAGTGGTGAGGACAGTTAGGCGCTGGATGTAGAGTTTGGGAGCAGGAGGAGTGTGTCCCAGACCCAGTGAAAATAAGGCTTGGCTGTAAGTGTCTTGTAGGCAATAGCAGGAAATAATGCTAGGGGGACAAGGTCAAGCCAGACTGGAGGGCCTTTAAAGTCAGGCAGTAGAGTTCAGATTTCAATCCACCAGTCCATTTCAATAAATGAAGTTAGTCCATTTAAATAACTTGCTTTTTTGGAAGGCTACATGTGTGGGCATCTGGAAAGGGGCCTAATAATCCAAGTGGGGGCTATAATGCTACATATCAATAAGTCATTAACAAAGGCAGTGTGTGATAAAAGCTAAATAAGGGGGAACTGACATTTTGTCTCCACATGCCAACAATCCCCCAAATTTGGACTTTGTAGGTGGTTCTCCTTAGCGCCAGATCCTAACTCCAGGTGTTTCCGGTACATCCGCTCTTGGATGACTCACAGGCACCTCAAATCTCACCTGTCATCAACTAAACTTACCTTCTTTCCCTCCTAGGTCTACACTGCTAACCATCCACAGCTCAGCAAATGGCACCATTGTCCACCCAGTACTAAGCTTGGGAGGCGTTCCTGCCTCATCCCCTGCCCTCACCCTCAACACCCAATCAATTACTAAACCCTATTCAATTTTTCCTCATAGACTGTCTCTCACATGCTTCACAGCACCATCTACACCTAGATGAGCATCATCTCTTGCCTGAATGTATTCAACAGTTGCCCACTGGTATCCATGTTTCTGACCTTGCTTCCCTCCAACTCATTTTTCACTCTGCAGACAGCAATCTTCCAGAAGCAGGTATTTGATTTGATCAGGCCTGTACTTAAAATTCTCCAACAGCTTCCCATTCTTCCTATTGATGTTAGGATGGTTTCTGAATCTTCTTTAGGCTTGGCTTCTACCTACCTCAACATCATTCATTAACCCAGTCATTGAGCAAACACCCAGCACTTACTATATGTGAGGCAGTGTTAGGGGTGCTGGCTATATCCATGAACAAGAGAAACTAAAAAACTTTATTCTTATACAGCTTACATTCTAACTGGAGGAGACAGTCTATGACCATACCACCCTGAACGCACTGATCTCATCTAATTGGAAGAGACAGACATAAATAAATGTATAAATATATTGGGTTAAAAGATAACTATTATGGGCAAGGCGCGATGGCTCATGCCTGTAATCCTAGCACTTTGGGAGGCCAAGGTGGCTGGATCACCTGAGGTCAGTAGTTTGAGACCAGGCTGGCCAACACGGCAAAACCCTATCTCTACTAAAAATACAAAAAAAGAAAAAAAATTTGCTGGGTGTGGTGTTGGGTGCCTGTAATCCCAGATACTTGGGAGGCAGAGGCAGGAGAATTGCTTGAACCTGGGAGGTGGAGGTTGCAGTGAGCCAAGATCTTGCCATTGAATTCCAGCCTGGGCAACTGAGTGAGACTCTGTCTCAAAACAAAACAAAACACAATGATGCCTATATAGATCGAGTGGAATGGGCAAAGGAGAAAGCAGTAGAAGAGGTCAGACTGGCAAGGAGGCAGATGGTATAGGGATTGTAGACCCCCGTACCCCAGCTGTTGAGTGTTCTGAAGAGTACGAGATACAGCAGGGCATGGTAGTTCACACCTGTAATCCCAGCGCTTTGGGAGGCCAAGGCAGGGAGGATCGCCTGAGTTTGAGACCAACCTGGGCAACACTATGGGACCTCATCTCTACAGATAATTAAAGCATTAGCGGCTAGGCGTGGTGGCTTATGCCTGTAATCCCAACACTTTGGGAGGCTGAAGTGGGCAGATCACCTGAGGTCAGGAGTTCAAGACCAGTCTGGCCAACATGGTAAAACCCCATCTCTACTAAAAATACAAAAATTAGCTGGACGGGGTGGCTCACACCTGTAACCTCAACTACTCAGGAGGCTGAGGCAGGAGAATTGCTTGAATCTGGGTGGCAGAGGTTGCAGGGAGCCGAGATCACACCACTCCAGCCTACGTGACAGAGTGACTGTCTAAAAAAAAAGAATTAGGTGGATACATGGTGGCATACACCTGTGGTCCCAGCTCTATGTGGGAGGCTCGGGTGGGAAGATAGCCGGAGCCCAGGAGATTGAGGCTGCGGTGAGCTAAGATTGTGCCACTGCACTCTACCCTGGGAGACAGAGCGAGAGACTCTGTCTAAAAATAAAATAAAAAGGAAAGGAAAGAAAAGAAAAAAAGGAGAATATGAGATACTATCTAGGAGGCTACTGTGATAATCCAGGTGAGTCTGTGATAATCTAATGTGAGAGACTGGTGGCTTGAACAGGATGGTGTTCCAAAGTGGTGAAAAGTGGTCTGATTTTGGATATAACTTGATGGCAGAGTTATCAGAATTTCCTTACAGATCAGATGTGGGGAGGGAGGGAGAGAGAGGAGTCATGTTTATCTTTAGCAAATGAAAGAATATCATGCTACTCACTGAGACAGTGGTGAGAGAAGCAGGTTTGGAGAGAAGGTCAGGATTGGTTTTGTACATGTTAAATTTGAGCTGTTTCAAATTGGAGGTGCCAAATAGGCAGTTGAATATAAGAATCTGGATTTCATGAAAGAGATCAGGGCTAAAATATAAAGTTAGGAGTAGTCACCCAAGAGATGGTACTGAAACCATGAAACCTGACAGCACTAGAGAATATCTGAAGAGAAGAGGTCAGAGGACTGAGGATAAGAGGTTGCAAGTAAGAGTCAGCCAACGATATTGAGAAGTGAGGTGGCAGTGAAACAGCAGTGTTGATGTCTTATAACCCAAGTAAGGATACTGTGGGCAGGAGGCCACTATTCAATTGTGTCAAATATTGCTTTAGATGAGATCTGAGAAGTGGATGAAGCACCTCAGAGGTAAGCACTCCCTCCCTAGTAAGAACCTATCAAACGTCAATTCATTTCTCTCCCTTTTTGTCTGCGAAACGTGTTTTCTGCTCATTACACTTCCCATTCGTTTTTCAGTTCTCAGCTTAAAGGTCCTACAATCGGAGAAGCTTCTCAAGACCAATGCTACTGTCACCAGGGAAACGATATTTTATCATGGAAATATATTATTCTAAGAGTCTACGTAATTGTCTCTCCGCTGGGCTTGACTGTAAGGTCCTTAAATCAGACGTGTCTGTATGTTGTTACTTCTGTACTCAAATATTCGATTGAACTTCGAGCATAGCGCAAAGCTCGTAGTAGGTTTTCCATAAATATTTACAAAACCAATGGATAAATGCTAAGAACACTTAGTGGCGCGAGCGATTACTTCCTATTGGCCTAACTTCGGGGGTGCCTAGAAGGGAGTGCCTAAAACTAGGAGTGGGCGCGGAGGTCTCTGGCCATTGCTTAGTCTCCCATTCCATTACTTTTGCAAGTCCCCTGCCGGACACTTTTTAGCTGTCCTCCCCCCCGCCCCCGGCCCCGCTGCTAGCCATTGTCTTGTTCGGACCTCATCCCAGACACTCACCCAGCCGCGTGGTGCGTTCCTGCGGCGCCGCGGGCTTGTCCCCAGTCCCATGCTCGGCCTCGAGCTCCTCCTGTTGCTGCCGTGCTTGCTGCAAAATCCGTCGGCTCAGCCGAGGCCCCACATACTCTTCCTCCTCTTCTCCGGTGCCACGACCCCGCCGCTTCTCCCGGACCCCTGCCCGCAACGCATTCCCAGCTAGGATCTGCTCAGCCAGGGGCGCATGTTTTTCCTGACCCCCGGCCCCACGGGTGGCCTTGAACTTGGGCATTTTTCTTGAAAATACTGCCGGGAAGGTTCGCACGTGGGGACGACGAAAAGGCCAGAATACACTTGGGTGAACTCCCACCTCCCAAGAGGCCACGCTGCGATCACAGCGCCCTCTAGCTATCGGAGGCCAGAAGCGCTATCAGCACCGCCCCTCCCACTAAAAGAGCTCCTGGGTTCCGGAGCTGGACTCCCAAATACATTTACTTCCTTTAACGTTGGCGTCTCTCAATAGTGCAGTCTAAGTCTCGTTCTTCTAGCTTCATGGATCTAAGCCTAGAGTGCTCAGCCAAGCGGGAATTTCCGGAGCTAGAAACATGAGAGCGGGAATCCACTGATTATGTCACTGGAGGCGTCACCGACGGGTGCCAAGACACGCCCCATTCCTTGGGGAAGGCGTGGACCCGGCGCTCTGTTTTTACGTATTTCCGGAATCCCTTCTGCGACCGAAGCCTGTGTTGGGGAACTGAAGCAGTTCCTGTGGGCGGACTGGGAACGACGCATTTCTACTGTGTGATCCTGCCACCTTCCTGTCCCGACACCATGGGAGTGACTTGGTAGGACTGCAGGGGTTTTGTGGGGCGGGATTTGGAGTTGTGAAGGGCCGGGAAGAGGTCCTTGACCATGGTCCGCCGTCCTCTGGGAGCTGAGCGAAATGTCCTCGGGTTATCTGGATAAGAGGATACCGTGCGGGCCGCGGGTTCCCTGGGCCTTTTTCCTCGGAGATGCGCTCTTACCTCTTGGAAGGCGGCAGAGCAAAGGTTTTATACCAGGGACCTATCAATGGTTATGTACCTTCTTCCCTTATGGGTACATCTTCCTTCCCGTGAGGCCATAGTACTGTCTGCACTTGGACCTCAAGGTTGGAAATAGGGACTTTGGATTAGGACCTACCTGCAGACAGGGTTGGAGGGAGTAGGTTAAAAGCGATCAGGAGACAGTATTTTTTTTTTTTTTTTTTGAGATTTTCGCCTACCCTTGTCTCAGCCATCAAATGCAGTTAGACCAGCTGGTGTCTGTTTGTAATTTGCCCATTTTAAGATCTTGGGTCTAGAGGAAAAAAGAGGCTATTGATAAGAAGGAGATCGTGGTTCCAGGCACTCTTTAGGACCTGCTTCTCACTATGTTTAATTCCATGGTTGGTCTAGTTTCAATGGAGTTTTTATCTTTCATATGTTTTAAGTCTCAGTTGGAAGATGAGGTGGCAGGGAAAGGTACAACGCTCGCGGAGGCATTAGTTGTAAGGTACTAGGTCCCAGACATTTTTTTTTCTTATCGCAGGAGGTGTGAGCATCTTTCCTGTGGGAGAATCCCGGGGGCCAGGATATCTGAAGCCAGTGGCTGTAGCTCATATAAAAGCGTGTGTGGGGTAAATACTTCTCCTGGTAGCCCCGTTTCTCGCGGGTTTCTCAGTGATTGCACTCTTGTTTCCCACAGTTGACATCCTCCTCCTCCTGTGTTCCTTAATGGAAGCAAGATACGTGAAAGATGGAAATGGAACGGATGCAGCGTAGAACCCTGGAACCCTTTGCTCTTTCTTTAAAAAAAAAAAAAAGAAATTGGGTCTTGCTATTTTGCACAAGTGGGTTTTGAATTTCTGAACTGAAGTGAGCCTCCTGCTTTGGTCTCCCAAAGTGTTGGCATTACAGACATGAGCCATTGTGCCCTGCCACCCCTGCTCTCAAATGGAAAAGGCAGCTCCAGGGAAAGGATGTAGGGCACGTTGGGAGCCTGATGTAGGGCTGATGGCCCCACAGGGTCGTGGGGTGAGCCTTATGCTGTGCTGAGGCGCAGGATCCGAGAAATAAAGAGACAGGACACAGAAGTACAACAAAAACGCAGCTGGGCTCAGGGTGGAGAGGGGGGCACACCACCTAGAAGCAGAGTCAGGCGAGGCCCCGAATGTCCAGAAGCATGAGTATTTATTGTGTAGGTTAGGGGGCAGGCCAGTGAGTGAAATCATCTTTAAGGATAGAGATAGGGTCGTGAGCAATAAAACATGGGGTCCACCCCCATGAGGTCACCTAGGCCAGGAGGTGGACAGTGCACAGCAAAGGGCCCGTTCCCACAAAGGCAAGGGCCGTGTGCAGTAAGGGGTCCACCCCCATTAGGTCACCGAGGTATGAAGGTGGGCCGTGCTCAGTGTGCAATACTTCTATCTATGGTCAAACTCCTTCTAGGAAGATTTATAGGAGGATGCTTTAAGTCACATAGCAGTGACAGAGCTGTCAGGGTTACCGCCACCTTCTGGCAGCTTCCAATGGGTCCTATGGGAAGATGCTTTTCAAGCAGCACAGTAGCAAGAGCTGATAAAGTTCACAGTCACCAAGGTGGATTGCCGTTCTGAGGGCAGCCTTCCACAAGAACGGGAGCAAGGTCCTACAACTCCTTTATGAGGAGGAGTGGCTCTCGTCCCAAGCCTGCCATACAGCGGGTATCTTTACGATACTGAACGCTGCCGCCTGGGCCATGGATTCTTGTCCTGGCATAACTGTTTTTCCCTTAAATCATGCTCTGCACAGTGTCTGCTCTTAGGCATTCCTCTGATTATAAGCTGCTTATTCCTTAATTCATACTATGTACTGTGTCCACTCTACGCATTCCTCTGATATGAACTAAGATATAGGTATACATGTAGGGAAATATTCTTTAGGCACTCATACTATTAACTATTATATGATTATATAGAGAAGATTATATAAAGGGATTTGTCAAGCCCTATTTCTATAAACTAATATATGACTGTATAAAGGATTATATAAAAGGAAATGGCTGAGTGGTAACACTATAAAGTGAGATATTCCTCAAGCCCTAACTGTGCCAGGGTTCTACTTAGCTCTCATTCCTCGGTGCCTATATGGGGGTTACCCACAAAGGGCTCTCTGTGGTAACCTTTAACAACTTTTTCAGAATCCTAGGACTTCTGTCCCTTGTAGCATCCGTTAGGGATTCTTTTATATTTCAAAATAAGGCACATTAGCAGCATTGTTTATCAGTGCTTTTTCTGATAGAGTAGTGACAATTTTTTTTTTAAGACAGAGTTTTGCTCTTGCTGCCCAAGCTGGAGTGCAGTGGGTGCGATCTTGGCTCTTTTTAACCTCTGCCCTCTGGGTTCAAGCAATTCTCCTGCCTCAGCCTCAAGTACTGAGATTACAGGCATGCACTACAACATCTGGCTAATTTTCTTGTATGTTTAGTAGAGATGAGGTTTCACCATGTTGGCCAGGCTGGTCTCAAACACCTGATCTTGTGATTCACCCATCTCAGCCTCCCAAAGTGCTGGGATTACAGGCATGAGCCAACGTGCCTGCAAGCAGTGACAATTTTTAGCAACAGATGGACTCTACCTTAATAGATTCATTTAGTTGATCATAAAGCAATGTCATCTATAATTATTTTCTTGATTTTTGTATAGCTGAGTACTGCCTGCACTATTGTTTATTAATTTTTTTTTTTTTGAAGAATTGATCTTTTCCTTAAAAATCTTTAACAGGCACTATGTCCCTATATAGGCAGTCTAGTGAGTGGTTAAGAGCATGGGCATTGGCTGGGTGTGGTGGCTCACACCTGTAATCCCAGCACTTTGGGAGGCCGAGGTAGGCAGATCACCTTTGGTCAGGAGTTTAAGACCAGCCTGGCCAACATCATGAAACCTTGTCTCTAGTAAAAATACAAAAAATTAGCTGGGCGTGGTGGCGCTCGCCTGTAATCCCAGCTGCTTGTGAGGCTGAGACAGGAGAATTGCTTGAACTTGGGAGGTGGAGGTTGCAGTGAGAGAGATTGCGCCATTGCACTCCAGCTTGGGCAACAAGAGCAAAACTCTGTCACAAAAATAAATAAATAAATAAATAAACAAACAAATAAATAAAATTGCCTGGACATGAAGTCAGATTGCTGGGCTTTTAGTCTTGGGTGTACCACCCATTAACTGTGTGACCTAGTGCAAGTTATTTAACCTCTTTGTACTGTACCTCAGTTTCTTCTTTTTTTCCAGATGATTTTGCTGCTGTTGCCCAGGCTGGAGTGCAGTGGTAGAATCTTGGCTCACTGCACCCTCCGCCTCCTGGGTTTAAGTGATTCTTCTGCCTCAGGTTCCTGTGTAGCTGGGACTACAAGTGCACACCATCATGCCTGGCTAAGTTTTGTATTTTTGGTGGAGACAGGGTTTCTCCATGTTGGCCAGGCTGGTCTCAAACTCCTGACCTCAAGTGATCAGCCTGCCTTGTCCTCCCAGAGTGCTGGGATTATAGGCATGAGCCATCGCACCCGGCAGTTTCCTTATTTGTAACAAATTGATAAATAACACACCTCCATAGGACTGCTGTGAGGATTTGGAGAGTTAACTCCTTTAAAGGCTCTAGGACACATTGTTGGTTGGCAGTTGTTGCCCACCACTCTAAAGGGGAAGCCACCATAGGAGGTTCACTCACCATAGGAGGAAATCTTGGGAATAATGTTTTTGATTTTGTTCCATTGTTTTGATTCTTGTAAATACTGTTGCCTCTCATTCCCAAAGATTATAAACTTGAAGCCTGCTTTTTTCTTTGTTCCTAGGGCTGTTGAATAGAACTTTCTGTCATGATGGAAAAGTGCTCTAACAGCGATGTCCAATACACTAGCCCCCAGCCACCTGTGGCTCTGGGCTACTGTGCAGAACAGCTCAGGTTCACAGAGTTGGTAAAAACATATTAACCCCAAACTGAGACTTTCTCCTTGATATAGTCAGAACTGAAAGAGTTGCAAAAAGAATCCCTTTTTCTGTTTTTTTTGAGACAGTCTCACTATCACTAGGCTGGAGTGCAGTGGTGCTATCTCAGCTCACTGCAGCCTCCAACTCCAGGGTTCAAGTGATTCTCCTGCCTCAGCCTCTCGAGTAGCTGGGATTACAGGCTCTTGCCACCATGCCCAGTTAATTTTTGTATTTTTAGTAGAGACGGGGTTTTGTCATGTGGCTAGCCTGGTCTCGAACTCCTGACCTTGTGATCCACTGCCTCAGCCTCCCAAAGTGCTGGGATTAGAGGTGGGAGACACTGTGCCTGGCCAAAATTTTTTTTAATTAAAAATAATATTAAAGTTGTAGGGTTCGTGAGACAGTCAGAGTAGGTAATTTCCAAGATAACTTTTGGCCCTGATGAGCTGTGATGCTGTGGCGAGTGAGTGGCTCAGTGACCACATGTGTGTCTCTGGATACTCATTATTTGGTGCTCTCCTTTCCAGTG